TACCGCGCTGAGCCGACAAACAGCTGATCGGCTCAGCGCGGCAGCCATGTAAATTTAAATGAAGCGGCGATTATTTAAACGGCCGCTTCATTTTCCTATGCCTGGTAGTCTAATCTACATGCCTCTGTCGCCAGAGGCATGTAGTCTAGACATACCCCAAGAGTCACTAGTACCAGAGCGGTAGGTAAAAGTTGCAAGAAGCCTATGTTGGGCAATTATTAACAAACATAGCCACACGGAAATTGTATTCCTAACTTTTGACAGTTAATATTTGGTTTATGCCTTGAACCATGAGTGTTTATATCCCTCACCTATAGTTATCCTATCTAGTGTAAGTATAGAAGTCCTCATTATCTATATGCAAGTCTAATAGTCGCTAAGCTCTAAAAAACAAACATACTTCTTGGCCAAAATTCAATTTAATTAGATTTTGTGCACAAAATGCTTTTATTAAGAATTCAGTAAATTTTAGAATGATCTGTTATTTTAAACTATCACATTACACAGTAAGTTAATTATTCATTGTATATCTAATGAATATATTATTGAAAGAGTTACCTATTTTGACTCTTCCTCTTTCAGGACCTTCTCCCATTACCAGAATGTTTGCTGGTTTCTGAAAAATAAAAAGCAGAATATTCACTTGCCTCACACCTTGTGAGGAATACAACCAAAGCCCAGTGTAAATTGCTCAAATTTTTAATTACCCTCATTATTAAAAATTGACACCTTGTTACTAGTCTGAATTTGTCTAGCTTCAACTTCCAGTCACTGGATCATATTATACCTTTTCCCAATAGTATTAAGACCTCTGTTATCAAATTTAATATACACAGACGGAATGCTTTACATCGAGGGGGGAACCTTTTTTGGGTCAGGGGCTGCTGACCTACAGAAAAATCAGTTGGAGGCTGCATACAAATGAGAAGTAAAATAAGGAGCCCCTGACTGAGAAGCAGAAAGACACTCTCTACATTCCCCTTGCACACCAGAGCCTAAGGGAACCCAGCCTAGTAGAGTTTGTGTGCTCCAGCCCCACAGCTGGGTGGCAGGGAGGCTGGAGCACCTGTGTGGGCTCCCTAATGCTGAGGGATTGGAATTGAGGCAAGCCAGGGGCTGCCTTCGGCCCCCACTCCTGAGGTTCCCCACCCCTGCCTTACATCTTTCACTATTAATGCAGGTTTTCTAATCCTTTTATCATTTTTTGTCACTTTTTTCTGAATCCTTTCTGATTTTTTACACATCCTTCTTGAATTCTGCACACCAAAATTGGATGCAATACTCCAGTAGTAGTGCACCTGTGCAGAACACAAAGACAATATCACCTCACTCAACAGTCCCGTTTATCCTACAATCATTTTAGCCCTTTTAGCCAGTGTCATACTGAAAGCACATATTCAGTTGATCAAGTATTAAGACACCTAAGAATTTTTCAGAGCCACTGTTTCCCAGGATAGAGTCCCTATCAAAGGCTAGCTAGTCCTTTGAGACACACCAGACAGAGCCTTGCCTGTGACCATCACACGCAGTTGGGGGAAAGATGTCTGAAGACTTAATTAAAAATGTGCAGGGGATCAGAGAGAGGACTACTTAGACCTGTGAACACAGTCTTAGGAGGAGACCCAGGAGAGAAGAGCAAGGGAAGCTTCACTCTCTTTGGGAGGGGCCTGGTAAAGTCAAGCTAGACTAGAGGATATCCTCAAAAGGCAGCACACAGTGAGGGAAACCAGCTGAGCAGAGGCAGCACAGAAAATATACCTGACCAACAGTGTTTAAATGTTGATTTTGACCTTGTGACTAAAATAAAGGCAAGAACAGAGAAGCACATTATGCACTTTCCCTTAAGGAGCTGTGTCACATTTCACACATAAGAATAAGATGCACTAGGCAGTGTTCCAGGCAGGCAGCCTGGCCAAAACTGGAAGAGGAAAGGCTTTGGCTCCGCCTTTTCCCTTCTGTCTCTACCTGCTGGCTCCTTGCCCCCCATCATGTTTCAGGGAGAGGCATGTGAACATTCATGCCTCTCCCATGCATTGCCCCTGTCCACAGCATGAGTGACTGGTTCTGACAGTTAGTGGAGGCATTCAGGGTTAACAAGGTAATCTGCAATGTAATCCATCAGGAGGGTGTACTTAGCCAAGCTGTAACAGTAGAGGAGAGATTTAATTTTTTTTAAAACAGCTACAAAACCACCTTTTGTTAGAGACTGTCTGCACATACATATATCTTCTACTCCAATTTTCTTTGCAATTTTTCTGTAGTACTTTGATTTCCTTCAATAATTTTGTCTTGAACTGTTCTCTCTTGCATTTGAGGCTGGACTGGACATGCTAGAACATGGTTACAAGGCAACTGAGGTGACAAGAACAGAGGAAGTGGCAGTAATAAAAAATGGAGGATAAAAAAACTATGTAAGATTGTAGGCAGATGAAGACAACAATAGATATGGGCAATTCTGCAGTGACTGAAATAAGACTTGTAGTAATTCATATGATAAAGAAAGGCTCATTCTAGGTCATAGACAATATTAAACCTGTGATGTCCATGGTATCTAAGATATTGGAAACAAACACATGCACTAAGGAAATCTCTTGTTGCCTAGGGAGGATAATATTTCATTCAAAGGAAATAAAGAAAGGCTATGAAAATCCCTGAATCATTTAACAATCTTATCTTAATAAAAACTGACAACACTTTTGACCCAGTTGCAGCCCAATTAATACACTATTTGCTTTCCTAAAACTCTCCCCTTACTGAAATACAAATACAATACCGTGTAACAAAGTGATATTTCTGGCTTGTGCAAGTTTAGTTGCTATAGAAACAGCAGAAACAGTAAGAGTTCCAAGTCTCACATTTAAGTTGCAAGTTATAAAAAATGAACAGACAAATCTCCAGTTGAGATGCTATGAGGTTTGATTGTATACTCCAGGAACAATTGCAAAACAAACAATATCAACAGCAACAAATATTTTGTGTGAAAAACTGAAACATGCACCAAGGGTCTAGATGCAGATATAATTTAGCAAGTCGCTTACAAAAAGTAAATGTTGCTCTATCAGTGGGCCAATAGCAATTAACAGCTCTCAGTGTGACAGAACTGGAAATGCTGAGGTAACAAGAAAAAATTGAAGTGCAAACATGTAGGTGTCCATAAGAATACTGATGTTAATTGAATCAAAGTGGCTCCTATTAAGTCTTTAAAGGAGAATGGTGGGAGAAGAAAAACAAACAAAAGTAAAATTGTCTACAATCTTGAGAGGAATACAATTAATCAGGTCACAACAGGAACAGTATTCTAACAATGGATTGTAGATTATTAATTGTAATAACTTTTATTGTTCTTGTACATAAATACAGTGACACAATTCATCAGAGATGTGATAAAGAACTATATTCCCATGAGAATCTCCTTTGGTTATGTGGCTTTCCATATACTATTCTTTATTGTTTGTACCCAAACAAATGTGTTTCCCTGTTGAAATGTACCTCTGGACAATGAATGATCTGAAATAGGCATTTTCTATTGTAAAAAAATATTTTTCTATATAAAGCTTAAAGTCTTGATTATTTAACAACTATTTATAGACTAGGCAGCACAAACCTTTTGCTCTTGTACATCCATATAAATCTATTCTTAAAACAGGCACAAATGAGTTTGGTGGTTTCTTCCTAGTCTTTAGATCACAAACACCCAGTGCAGAAAGCCATTAGGCTGCATAGAACAGTTTTACACTGACAGTCTGTTGAAAAGTAGTCATTAGTTGTTGAAGGTCAGGATTTAGATTTGTTTGGAGAAATTTGAACCCAGATGCTCTACCCCAAAAATCCCCATATCCGGCATCCCCCTACCCAGCCACAAGAAATACATTTATACAATAAAGCAGAAAAAAGTCAATAAAATGGCTTTCAATCAGAAGATCATCAAAACAAAAATCCACCCCTTTAACTCAAAACATTTTAGTCAAACATGCTGTATTACCAACCTAATGTTTTTTGCAGCCATTCCTCAAGCTTAGGAACATAGTTATTCAGCCATTAACCATTCTTTAGCTCTTGAAATATTTTATTTCTAAACATGCATTCCAACCCTCCAATACTTTTGGGGCTCTTTTCTGAACTCCTTCCATGGAATTTACCTACATGAAACATAGTGTCTGTGTTAATATTATCATTCCATTATCTATGATTAGAAAACTGTTTAGTGAACATCTTTCTGGTATTGAGGTACCAGGCTCAGAACAGGACACAACATCTCATTAGTTGTTCACATTATAATATGATAGGACTACCAAGAAAAGCAAAATTATAAGCCTGACAAGAGGTCTCTTTTGACAAAATGACTTTCAAAGTTTCTCCCTCCCATTGAATTATCAACATTTCAAGTTATTTGCCCCCAAATTAATTAGCTGACATTTTCATTAAGTTAACTGCATTATATTCTGTCTAGTTTTCTAATCCCTCTAGTTCTTTTATATTTTTCTCTGTTCTACTACTATTAGCATTACCTCTCAACTAGCATCTAATAATTTCAGCAAAATGTTGTTCACCAGTTCTTCCACAACAATGAAGTTTTATGCTAGTATTACTACAATCAACATGATCAGACTGATACTGACCACTGCAGTACTCGCTAAATACAGAATTATGTCTAATGGCTAGGAAATCTGCACAAAAGAGCAAGAAATCTTTTTTAAAATAGTGGAAGATCATTCACCTGCAATTGAAATTAGTCTTAAGTCTAAAAAAGAAAAATCGGTAAGAGGCAAATGTGGTTAAACAATTAGGTAACAAGAAAAATAAGCAAGTACTGTAAATAATGCAATGCAAGGCTTTTAAAACAAAATGATCTAATAAAAACAAAGATATAGCATGATACAGAAAATATAGTTAGCAATGCCAATGAACACTATTAGATTGTAGGCCTAGATTTTTCTGGTTTGCTTAGTACCATCATCTAGACTTCCCCCTTTTTTCAGTAAATATGATGGACATCAGACCAAATGCTACTACTGCAGTAAAAGTGAAAATAAAAGGATATATGAATGTATACAAATATAAAGCCAAGTGTTGCCAGATTTTTATCTTTTAAAGAAATGTAGTTTCAACATTGCATATGCTGGTTTTTTTCCTAGAGCAGCAGCAACTTTCTCCATAGAGATATGCTTCAATCATATTCTAAAGGATCAGAACCTAATTCCACCCTATGCCCTTTCTTTACAGTTGATAATGAAGGCAGCATTTATTGTCTTTTTCCCTTTCTGAGTCAGACATCTACCCTCTTCCTCTACAGCAGCAGTGGCCAACCCGTTAAATGGAGAGAGCCAAAACAGTGGTGGAAAAAATACAAAGATCCGCACAAGAATTGTTGAGCAAAAAAGTGAAGAGCTCTTCACCAGCCAGAGTTGTTGAGCAAAAAAAACCTTTAAAAACCACGGCTTAAAAACCATCTGATGATGCCATTTTGCCACGCCGGATGGCTCCCCTGCACCCGGTGAGCATAGAGGGTCAGGGGGCCGTTTCTAGGGGCACATGGGGCGGCTTCACATGCCGGGGGGGGAGGGGAGCAGGCGTCGCAAGCCACATTTTCAGGGGTGAAGAGGCGCATGTAGCTTG